GTCATGTATAAAAATTTAGAGCCGAGCTGTTAAGATGTTACACTCCTCTCATTGATGGAGCCCATTGCCTTCATAGGCACAATGAACTTGCCCAATTTTATTGCCATGAATTTTGGGAGAAGCCAAGTACCTCCTAGGCAAAATCCAGTGGTAGCTTTCTACTATCACTTTGCTTTTCAAGTGATTTTGTTAGGTCCTCTGTAGGTTTCCAAGGTCATTTCTGGACCCCTGGAGTTACCCTTATCAAGAGGAGAAATGACTCTTCAGTCAGCTCCATTTCTTACCTCTCTTCTGAGTCCCCCACTACACTTTGTTCATTGCTTTAAGTACTTTCGCTTGGATATTTTTTATTTGATAAAACAATGCCAATAACCAAAGCATAACCAGATATGTCTAGAAGAAATTAAGATGGCTAAGAATCCAGGAAGCACCTGTAAAAAACTTAGAAATTTGTCTTGGAAAAAAGAACTGTAAGACAAAGTGTAAAAATATTTTAATATATTTGAAAGATTGTGATACTAACTCTGGATGCATATGTCTTCATCCAGGAAAGGCATGCTTTAAAGAATAATTGTATCAAACTGAGTTCTTAAAGTGTTCCTCTTCCTTTTTTGTCTTTCTACCCCTTTTCCTTTTTCCTCCTTTCTTTTATATCTTTTTCTTCCTTTTTATCTTTTGCATACCTTGGTATAATTTCTCTAATTATATTAATGACTAAAATTTCTAGAAAATAAAATACCTTTGTCATCAAATTTCAGGCTTCCCTAGGTCTCAAAATTAAGTTCTAAACTTCGAAAATACTTTTGAAGCAGATTTTAAATGGAAAACTTTTGAAAGTATGGTAATTCAAATTTGGATCTATTCCTTTTTGGATATGGTTAAATTAACTTAACCTATTAAGTTCACTCATGAAGTATTATAATTTTGGACACATATTACCCATTTTAAGGTAACTTATCTTTTCTTTTCCAGAGATTTTCACTATTAAGATATTAAGATTTTACTTTATTATTTATTCATGGTACTCTTTCCTATTATATATATGTACATATATATATATATTTCCTATTATATATGTTTATATGCATCTATTACAGTTTGCTATTATGTCTACAATTTTAAGTTCTTATTTCAAAATAACAAAGTAGCATTAGATAATGAATTGTGTGGACATCTAGCTATGAGTGTATTTGAATTTTTACTTTTTACTATAAAAAATTAAGGAACACAGAACTATTCCTAATAAAAATAGTTTCACATGTTTCAAGTCTACTTTTACCTATTTTCTGACACACTCGACATATCTTCTCTAATGTTGTTAACCTTGACTTTTTGTTCTCTAGCTGCTGCATAACACCTTACATTAGAGATGTAAAACCAGTTAGAATACTCACTGCATAAATTAGTAAAAAATAAGTAAAGAACAGCTAAAAGATAAGAACTTTTAAAATCATAATACAATATTGAGTATAAATGTATATTTATCATTCAACAGATCTGAAACCAATACCAACAGAATATAAAGAAAATGCCGAGTGTCAGTGGCTCATGCCTGTAATCCTAGTTACTCAGGAGGCTAAGATCTGAGGATCATGGTTCAAAGCCAGCCCAGGCAGCAAAGTCTGCAAGACTCTTATCTACAATTAACCACCAGAAAACCAGAAGTGGCGCTGTGTCTCAAATGAGAGTGCTAGCCTTGAGCTGAAGAGCTCAGAGCTAGAGTCCAGGCCCAGAATTCAAGCTCCACGACCAACCAAAAAAAAAAAAAAAAAAAATATAAATATATATATATATATATAAAGAAAATGACAAGATAAAATTGTAGACATAAAAATCCTTTAATCTACCTTTGAGGATTCAAATTCCCAGAGAGGTTAATAATTTGTCTATAAGTCATGAAAAGACTTTATATATAGTCATTAGTTAAGAACAACTTTTCCTTCTAAAGCAAACACTGTACAGCACTTTGTAGTTTACATTGATTATTGTAATATTCTACATTGTAGAGTACAATAGCCACCCATTCTTACTATGAATCATATCACCAATGGGTGGCTCACTATTGCACCACAATATGGTTAAGATCATTTTTCTTGCCAGAGTAGTTTATTCTATAACCTGTAGTTTCTTGACTCAATAATAAATGTGCGATACAAATAATGTCAATGATCTATGAGGACAAATTGGCTGAGAATATTAGAGGAGACACTTCCAGGTCCACAGAAAGGTTTTTATTAGTCAGATATTTCTCTCTTTGAAAATTTAGTGAATTTAGAACTGTCACAACCATTCTGCCACCTTGAGGAAAATTAGAGATAGAAGTTTATTTCACCTAAAAAAAGTAAAATAAATCAGTCTGGATCTTGTGCTGAGATGAATCTTCCACTTAAGTAAACATAGTTCTTCTAAAAGTTCTCTATTACTTCAACTACATAATGAAGCTTAAGTTATTTTTGGTACTGTTTCTTAACATCGTATTTTTCTTATAATATGCAAATATATCCATATGTTGTTATGATCATATCTTATATGTCTTATAACAGGGCCTTGAATTCAGTGCCTTGCTTTGGTAGACTCCTGTAGTACTGTGGAGCCACATCTCTAGCCCTGCTTTTCATTGATTATTTTTAGAATAAGATCTCTTTTTCTGCTTTGTTATGTGTCTAAATCACATTCTGCCTACTTTAAGCTTCCTGTCCTTTATGGTATTATACTAATGTACTACCACAGCAACCAGCTATGCTACAGATTGAGAAGTGTTTTTGTAAACTCTTCTGCCCAAGCTAGTCTCAAAATACAATCCTCCCAATCACAGCCTTCCATTTGGCTTAGGTTACAGATGTGTGCCAACAGCAATTAACCATATTATATAATTTTTATATAAAATTGAAATCTAACCTAGCATTCTCTATATTATTTGGTAAATCCCAATTAGTCTGGTATAAACACAAAAAACTTGTACTTATATTTTTAAATTAGAACTAAATACTGCATTAATGGTTTAAGCATTTGTTGTTTTTGCTAATCTAGTCCCATAGTACCTGACATTCTCTGTAATGTTCCAATAGTCAGTAACAAAAAAAAAAAAAATAGACTACATATCCACTTAGCCACATGCATGTCTATGTACAGACAAGGAAGCATAAAGTTCCATTCTACCTTCCTATAGTTTCTTTTTTTTTATTGTGAAAATACTGTACAGAGGGGTTATAATTACATGGGCAAGATAATGAGTACATTTCTTATCAAGCATTGTAGCCTCCTCCTTTGTTTCCCCTTCCCATCCCTTCCCATCCTCCCCCCCCCCCCGCCCCTCCACCCAATCTTCCCCGCTCCCTCCCTCCCTCCCCCCTTCCTACAGTTTCTGTTCATCTAGTTTTCTATTTGATGCCCAACTGTGATAATAATCCACATGATCAACAACCTTTAAGGTCTCAGTCAACACTCCTCAGCAAAGATCCAAGATGAAGCATACTGAAGATACACTTCCAGTGCCAAAAAAATAAAGTAGATTGCAAAGCACACCTTACATAGTTCTTAACTTAGTTCTTAACTTTGAAGTGTCATGTAAACACCATCATTTATAATGCTAAGTAAAAAATTATTCATAATTAGTTTTGATGAGCACATTAACATATAAAATTTTGATAATGAAGTTCAAACGCGTATTGTAGAATATCTTTTTTTCTGGTGACTGAATATGTAATAGACTGCTTTTAGCATAAGCCAGGGAAATGTAACACATTTTGTTCTCTCAGTTGCATATGTCTTTCACGGGAACATTCCTGCTCACTACTTGTTCTAAGTGATTTACATCAGTGGTTGTTAAGAACCACTTAGTTAGACTTTAACCTCTCTGCTGTGTGGCTTGGGTCTACTTTAACTAATCTCTTACCATCCAATCTGGTCTTCAAGAGAGAAGATAGTCTCCAGAGACCTCGCTTTTCTTGCATAACACAGTGTTAATAATGGAAATTCAGAAGCATGCAAAGTTCATTAGTTAAAATAGTGTATTTTTTTTACTAGTTATATGCGATGTGAATTCACTGTTTCATTGACTATTCAAATACTTAAACTCTAAGAACTTTGTATGTTCTTCACAATAGTAGTATTTGTGGGTCTGTGTGAATAAAAGCATTTCTCAGATGTAAAACAGAAGTGTAATGTTTTAAAAGAATGTCACAAATCATTTAAATAGGGATACAGGTGGACCCATTGCAACAATGAGATGTATAAGTTGTTATGTCGAAAAATGAACTTTACAACTTTGGTGGGGGGGGGGGGGGAGATTGGGTGGGGAGTGGGGGGAGGATGGGAAGGGGAAACAAAGGAGGAGGATACAATGCTTGATAAGAAATGTACTCATTATTTTGCCCATGTAATTGTAACCCCTCTGTACAATATTTTCACAATAAATAAACAAAAAATTAAAAAAATAAAACAATGTACATCAAAAAATAAAAAAAAACAATGTCACCTTAATGTACAATATATTTTTTCAGTTCTAGAATATTGTATTTTCATTTTTGCAAATGTAAGCCTTTGGTATCAATCCCTCAAATATTATTTTTGTGCAGATCACTTTTTTTTTTTTTTTTGTCGGTTGTGGGGCTTGAACTCTGGGCTTGGGGAGCTGTCCCTGCGCTCTTCAGCTCAAGGTGAGTACTCTACCTCTTGAGCAACAGCGCCACTTCTGGTTTCCTGGTGGTTAATTGGAGATAAGAGTCTCACTGACTTTCTTGCCCAGGTTGGCACTGAACCATGATCCTCAGCACTCAGTCTCCTGAGTAGCTAGGATTTGTGGGGATAAAATAACAAGGCATAATTCATAAAATGATTTTCATGTGGTTCAGTTTGTTATTAATATGTCACATTAAATTATAAATGGAGTGGTATTGAAATGTAATCAGAATATCAGGGAGGTAATATAATTCCAATAATTTTTCAATTACCCAGATGAAATACTCATTTACAGTATGCTTCGAGCTGTCAACAATTACCTTGGGTAGCTCCTCAATTTGATTGGCATCTAGATAAAGCTCCTCCAATGTCCGCTCGAAGTTAAAGACCTCCTTTGGCACCTGTTGAAGGCTGCAGTGGGAGTAATCTAACACAGAGATGATTTCTTCTTCACCTCGGAAACATCGGCACGGCACCAGACGGCCAATGATTTTCCGTTTGGTGGTCATCTCCAGGCACTGCACTAGGGAGAGACAAAAGACAAGTGTTTAATTAACTGCTTTCCCAAAAGCATTCTTGTAAAATCTTTAGCACTTCTAAGTGTAATTCTTATATATTTCCTGATTCTATAACACTTTAGATAGGATACACACATGCATTATACCATTGAATCCTCAAGTAGCCCTATAAGATACATGATACATGTTTTATTCTCATGTAGCAAATTAAAAAATAGTGGGACCAGAGAAGTTGAGATGTTCACATTATCACTTAGTTTTAAATTACAGAGTCAGAGTACAATCGGGTAGCACCCCAATGCTATTATCTTGCTTACATTTTCATTAAAAACATGGGTCTATAAGATATTCTTTTACACAAATTACAGTGTAGAAAAAACTTCTAGAATTTGTTGGAACAGACATTTTTCCTGCATTTTCAAAAATATTCAAAAGTTATTCCTAAAGTTTTTTTTAATCCACATATTAATTCTATTAGTAAAGAGTTATTTACTAGATCATTGAATATTAACTGGATAACAGATTCTTATCTAGACAGTGAATATAGCGATGAATCAAGTCTCTCTTTGTGGAGTTTATACTGTGTTGTTGTTCCAGATTAAGTTTGAATTGGTTATTCAGTATCTAACATTTGAAACAATGTAGGAAATTCTATGATATACTGGACATACCTCTTTACTATGTTTCTAGGGTAAAACTCACAAAATCTCATAAAACCTTATAGACAGGTATCATGGCACCTTCAACAATGTATTTAATCTACTGTTTTTCATGTCATGGTCTCCTATACTGCATGCATTGAAGGATAGTGATGCATTTTATTCATCTTTGAGTTCACTTTGGTGCCTAACATAGTATTATTCTCGAACAACTGCAGAATTAACAAAGCAATGTGGATAAACAGATACATTAAAATTTTCCTCCTGATCAGTATCAACAGCTGACAGTGCTATTGAGAAAACCTCATTCTAGCTAGAAGGTCACTATCTCTATGACTACTATGACCCCAGGAAGAGTACGCACATTGCTTTTGGAATGTGTGTGCTATTTCTTCAGATATGAAGTGAATTCTTTAGGAATATTTGTCTTCCATATTTTTAAATTATGACACTGATCAGGACATTGTGCCAAATGCTGAATTAGCATTATATGAAAATTAATTTGAAATGTGCAGTTAATTTGTTCAATTGTTCTTATTTAGAATATAATTTCCTAGCTTAAATACAAGTTAGAGATTTTTATGTTAAAAACTAGATAAAATTGTTTTTCAAATTGCTTAGATTATGTCAAATTTGAAGACAACCAGGTAGTACATACTTAAAACTTGATAATTTCAGACTAAAGCCATGGTTATTCCTCTTTTAACTTCTGAAAGTAATTAAAGAATGTTATGAGGTGAGGTCCATGAGTAAGCATTTATATTTATTTATACATGGTAATCTTTAAAATGTCAACTACAAACATTAAAAATATGACCTATTTTCATCATTACCTTAAAACTCTAAGTTTCATACTTTCCATTTCTGTAAGTCTGACTGGCAAGATTTTTAACTATGATTTTATCTGACTTTGCTTGAAATTCTGATTGTTAGACTGATGCATTTATATCTCTACCTTAGATCTACCATGCTGTAAATGACTCTGGTAAATATGTGATACCTATTAGGTACCCAGTAAATGAGTGTTTGCAGTTGCAAAGGTTAAATCTGATTGCTTAGACTGGTAGCAATGAAAAAAAAGAGAAATAAAGAACTAGGTAGGTAGTTAAGTACACTTTCACTTGGTGGTGTATTAAATGGGAGAGTACAAGGGAGGCTGAATGGGAAAGGGAGATGTCAGGTTTTTGGTTTGATTAAGTAGTAGCCACGTTGACAACTCAGGAATAGTGCCACAGAGCTGATCTGATACCCATCTCTAAGACTCAGGATCAAATCAATTGTTCATGGTCTTTTGTTATCCGGAGTCTTACACATCTGATTGTGCTAGACAATGTGGCTATTTCTCTAGGTCTATTTGTTTTATCCACTGAACAGCTCTTTAAACTAAAAATAAAGGGAATAAAAGGACACTGGGGTCTGCACCTGAACCATTTGGTTGATGTTTGCTGTACATCAGAACTTTGGGAATTCACTCAGTGTTTTCCCTTTCATGTACCCAAATATAAGCTCCGGGGTCAACTTTTCTACTTCTTCTGTGCTCTCTGCATGTGCTGAACTGTTTTTCTGTATCAGCTTCTTCATCTACTCCATCTAAATTCTTAGATTGTACCTACACCATCTCATTTTCACTGACTGTCCATCCCATGATGCTCCTCTTCTATTTTCATTAACAAAACTAAAACGTTTTTCTTCCTGAGGGCATTGCTTCTCCCTACATCTTTAACAATGGAGGAAGACCGGTACAGATTCAAAGCTATTCCCCACAGGAAAGTCTGTGAGACACTTATCTACAATTAAGCACCAAAAAGCCGGAAGTAGAGTTGTACTCAAGCAGTCAAGTACAATCCTTGAGGACAAAAGCTCAGGGACAGCACCCAAGCCCTGATTGAATTAAGCTCTAGGTTCAGCACAAAAATAATGGAGTAAAGTATCTTTTTCTTCATCACACTTCTTCACATCACACTTTTGTGTTCAGATAGGTTATTTTTTTTCCTGCCTATAGAAAGGATCACAAGGGCTCAATAGTTATGTGCATATGATCATATAAGACAATGCTTATCGAAATGAATATCAAGAAATGGAAACAAGAGTTTTTTTTTTTAGTTTTTGCGCTTTTTTCCTGTTTTTGTTTTTTTTCCCTTTCTTTACTGTTTTATTTCTGTAGTTTTTGTCTTGGATATCAGTTTATCTGAGTTGGTGAGGGGAAGGGGAACTGGTGGGACAAAGAGTGAAACAATTTAACAGTGATACTCTCTGGAAATGAACTATACAACTTGGTAGGGGACGGGAGTTGAGAAGAAAAAGCTGGCAGAGAATGAAGGAGTGCCATTGTTCAAAAAGAAATAGCTAGTATATATCTGCGTCAAGCAGAAAAGGTCAGATAAGTTGATGTTAGGGGAATGAACTCCAAGATAACTATTCAAATTTTTTTGTTTTTTTCCTTTTATGCAATTGTTTCTAACATATTTATAAGATGATTTCTTTGTTGCCTTGTATGTCCCTCCCCCACAGTATAACCCCTGCTTTCACTGTATTTGATGTTGGTATAATTTGTGGAGGGGAAGGGCAAAAACAAATCGTTTAACTAGGGATACAGGTGGACCCATTGCAACAATGAGATGTACAAGTCATTATGTCGAAAAATGAACTTTACAACTTTGGTGTGGTGGGGGGAGGATTGTGTAGGGGGAGGTAGGGGAGTATGGGAAGGGATGGGAAGGGGAAAAAAGAGGAGGCAACAATGCTTGATAAGAAATGTACTCGTTATCCTGCCCATGTAATTGTAACCCCTCTGTATGGTATTTTCACAATAAAAAATAAAAATTAAAATTAAAAAAAGAAAAAAAAAGAAATGTACTCTTTACTTATGTAACTGTAACTCCTCTGTACATCACATTTACAATAAAAATTTTAAAAATCACAGAAAAATTAAAATTTTCATTAACATCTAGATTAAACAACAGACAATACGTCTCAAAACACAGACTTTGTATACTAGCAGAGATATCATAAGAAATATCCAGGTTACAAGTACAGAGAGACAAAGTATGGAAAATTTACTGACAGAATATACAGATGTTTCTATGTTCAATAGGAGTTCCAGGACAGACTAGACAGAAAGAGAAGATGATATATGAATGAACAATGGCAGAAAATATACTGTAATTTATAATTGTTTATTTTTTTTTGGTTTTTAAATTTTACTGTAAAGACCATATGCAGAGGGTTATAGTTACATAAGTCAGGTAATGAGTACATTTCCTTCTGAACAGTGGTATACCTACCCTCATTCTCTACCAGTTTTTTCCCTCCCAACTTCCCTATTTCCCAAGTTGTATAGTTCATTTCCAATATATTGGCTAGTGGGTTTCACTGCTGAACTGGTTCACCCTGTTCTGTGGTTTCTGTGCTCCTCTTTCTCTTCCCCAAATCAGATAAACTAATATATAAGACAAAAGGCAAATAAATAAAAAACAGCAACAGAAGGGAATAAATAAAAAAATAAAGATATGAAGAAAAAAAATCTGGAAACTCTTGCTTCAATTTCTTAGAGTTCATTTTGATAAGCATCATTTTGTTATATATGTTATATGATCATATATATGATCATATATGATCATATAACATATATGGAATCAATCCAGACTACTCATTGGATGAATGGATCAAGAATATGTATATAAACACAATAGAACTCTCTGTTTCCATCAGGAAAATGACGTTGCCCCATCTGTAAGGAAATAGAAAGACTTGAAAAAAAAATTATACTAAGCAAGGTAAGCCAGACCCAAAGACACATAGGATGCATGGTTTCCCTAATTTGTAATAATCAGAATGTGGCTATAAATCTATAAGTAAACCCAATGGATAATAAAGGAAAAAAATTAAACCTAGGCATGATTAATTAAACGGCAACCTAAACATTCACACAGTGAGAACAAAGGAGGATATTCTTAGGAGAGGATTGTAAGGGCAACAACTAATAGTTTATAATTTAAGGAAATGACAGATCTATATATTCATAATCACAATGTAGCCTATGCATAATTAGCAAAATAAATTTGTGTCTAACTGGTCAAAAAGAAATGTATTCATTACCTGACTTACATAATAACTTAACTGTAATCCCTCTGTACACCACCTTCACAATAAAAAAACATATTGTGTCTAAACTTATAATCAAACTACAAAGACAAAGAAAATACTTATCTTGTCAGAGATCAAAGATTTTTTTCTTTCTTTTTTTTTTTTTTGGTTGGTTGTGGGGCTTGAACTCTGGGCTTGGGTGCTGTCCCTGTGCTCTTCAGTTCAAGGCGAATGATCTACCACTTGAGCTACAGCTCCAC